GCACAAAGCAGTGCTGACTCTGCTTCTTGCACCCCTTGTACCCACTCAGTCACACTGAAACCTGTGGATATTACTTGTGACATGCGCTTGTGCTGTTCGCTGAGTAAAACACAGTGATTGCTGATACTAATACTTCAGACTGCATATGGGCATCACAGAAGAAAACAGAACCCCCACACAAGAAAAATCATGGATGAAGAAAGAGTGTTGAAGGAAAAATGGACACATGGGTCAAGACAAATAATATGCCGCTATGCTTAATTTGCAAGGAAATTGTGTCAGTTTTCAAAGATTACAGTTTACATTTTATGCAGAAACATGCTGCCAAATGCAGTGCATATCAAGGAATGTTTCATATCGACAAAATAGCAGAACTGAAAAAAGTCTGTCATCTCAGTGATATCTTTTTTGAAAAGCTAAAACTCTAACATACTCTACTATTAAAAACTAGTCATGTGGTAGCAAATCTAATTGCAAAAAAATAAAAACCATTAACTGATGATGACTTTATTAGGCAATGTATGGAAAGCATGGCAGACATTATGTGTCCTGATTAAAAAATATATATATATATTTTGTAAAATCAGTTTGTGTCACCAGAATGTTGCCAGGTGATCTGAAGAAATGGGAACATTTGTTGAAAGAAATTTGGAGACTAAAGCTGCTGATTTCAAATTTTTTGCTTTGGTAATACAGGAAAGTACTGATGGTGCAGATATGGCTCCACTTGCCATTTTCATTAGAGGTAGTAAAGAAAATGGCTTCTTTGGTGCCATTAACAGACACAATAAATAGCTTGATTTGTGTGAAGCAGTAAAAAAATATGCTAAAGTGATTTTCTTCAACCTTTGTCAACATGTCTGGTATAGCTACTGATGGTGCCCTAATGATGGCTGGGAAAAAAGGACTTATAAAATTAATGGAAGAAGATGCAATTGCCACTGATAACTCACATTTGATGAAATATCACTGTGTCGTACATCATGAAAATTTATGTGTGAAAGCCTTAAAAATGGATAATGTCATGCAAATCATCGTCAAAGCTGTGCATTTTGTAAAATCCAATGGCTTGAATCATCACCAATTCCAGGAATTCCTTAAAAATGTGAATGCTGATTATTATGCGGACACCCATTTACTTTTTTGAAGGAAGGTCGCTAAGTCAGGATAAAATACCAAAAAAATATAATGATTTGCAAATTGAAATCAAATCCTTTTTGGAATCGAAATGGAAACTTGTGCCAGAACGTGAACATTGAAAAAGGCTCACACGTTTAGCATTTTTGGTGGATTTGACTGCTCATTGACATGTGCTAAACATACGCCTTCAAGGTGAAAATCAACTTAATCTGTGCTGTGTTTCAAAGCATAATAGTGTTTGAAATTAAACTTGAATTATGGCAAGCTCAAGTTACAGCAGATAATTTCATACGTGCATTTGCTAAACACAGTCCTGTGAAGAGCAAAAAATGTGCAGCCCTGCTTTCTAATTTGATAAAGGGATTTGAGAATAGGTTTCAGGATTTGTGAAAACTCATAAATATTTTGGGTATATTTGTGATTCCGTTTTCAGTTGACATTAATATATTACTTTGATTTTTCAAATTGAATATATAGAGTTGCAGTGAGATGTTCAACTCAAAAATTTGGTCATGTCTCTTTACTTGATTTTCATAAGAGAAAAATATCGCGTGCTTCACAGTCATGCCTTAATAATGTCATCACTTTTTTTGGCAGTACATACATTTGTGAGCAATTATTGTCAAGGATGAAGTACAGAAAGAGCAGTATTTCATTAAAGATCTGATTAAGTCCTTGAGAGCTCACTAAGAACTGTGGCTACTTCAATTAAATCAGACAATGATGCAGTAGTATCACAAAAACAGTATCCCAATGGTTTTATGTTTCTGTTGCTCTCTATTTTTCACATTTTAATAAAAACCACATTATATGTAAGTAAAAAAAAAAAACATTAAGACAGTTCTTCCCTGGTTTAGCATTAAACGTGGAGGTTGGTGGCCCTGCATGTGGCAGGGGGGTTGGAGATTCATGATCCTTGAGGTCCCTTCCAACCCTGGCCATTCTGTGATTCTGTGTGATTCGGTGACAATTCCTGTTTGCTCAGTGCGGACCAGGCAAGCTGAAAAGTTGGGTGCTGGTGTTTTATATCCTCAGTGCTGAAGCAAGTTGCAGGTGGACCTGCTTTATGAAGTTAGGGAATTAGTGCCATCTGCTGGTGCTGATAGGTTTCTTCAAAGAGGAAAAATGACTTGCCAGGAGATGAGAGGAATTTCTGGCATTCTAAAAAGAATGCTTGTACACATTTGCTACTTTAGCATTTAACTATGTGGATAAAGTAAGTAATAAAAAGGTTTCTTATTGGCTGTTTATCAGAAGTTGGCTTGCCAAAGCAAATGTAAGCATTGGGCCTGCTTAAGAAAAATATTAGCTTGGTAGGTTCTTTTATTAAATAGTGCTTGGCAAATACAACACAAAGAATTTTTTGTTTAAGTTTACAGTATTTTATAACTCAATTTGGAAGAATCTTTTCTACTATCTATGCATTTTTACTAAACTCAGAACCTTCCACTATATTTGAAATTACTGATTTTAAGTGACAGATAAATTGTGTATACTCAGTGATAATAAAACCTGAAAACAGTTGAAGCAAATGATTGATATCTGAAGCCAAAAGATCTACAAATACTCTGTTCACTCTGTCCTTCCATTCCTTGAAGAAAGGTGTCCTGCACCTGAAGTTGTTTATCTGAGGTAATAACCCTGTTATTCTCCAGAGCCCTGGAGAAGGCTTTTATAGTATCTCTTTGGTCATGCCTGTTCTTCTGCAATAAATGTCTGACTCATAAAATATCTTGTCCTATGATGGAAACGTTTGTAGAAGTGAAGATAATTAATATTAAACTGGTGTTTTGTTTTCTAAAATTTAAGTGATACTCTTAGCTATATATCTATGTTTGTGTGTGTACTGTATTTCATCCACATGCAGTTATTAGCAAATCTATTGCAGACTTGGATCCTGATTTGAAACGTTTATTTAGTAAGTTCTGGGTGTGCACAAAGTTCCTTCACTTTAATATTTTGTTCTTAGAGCTGTGACTTTCACTCAATTCCATAGTCTTTGTAATTGAGGTATACCTGCCATTGTTTTCTTTCTGCTTCCAGTGCTATATAACCTTAATGCCTTTCAGTAATTATTTTGCAAAATTAGTAACATCTGCTGTGTACAGCTGCTTCTCCTCAGGCTCTCCACTGTGAGCTCTGTTTTTTTTGCTTTTTAATGAGGTAACATTATGCTATATTTCAGCAGAAGAAAAACAAAATGCTTATGCTTTAAATAGAGTGGTGCTGTAATGACTTGTGAATCCTTCAGGCATTCACTTCAGTTCTGGATTTGTAGCTGGTCAAGGCAATTACCTGTTTTGCCTTACAATGCTGAGTGGTACAAAAGAGAATTACAGTTAGATAAACTGTCAAGTTATCAAGAATAGCAGTAGCAATTTGAAGAAACCTCTAAATAAAATCATTCTGGAATAGTAGTGCTCTGTTCTAATGTGTTAGTGTCCAGGATCAGCAGATGAGTCTGCTTTCCGAGTTCTCAATTGGTATCTCTAAATGCACTCATGTTCTTTGTATTAATCATTTGTAGTGCATCACTGTCACTGTGCTACCAGAACCGGAAGCATATGGTGGAATTTTAGGACAAACTTGTTTGCTGGCTCTTTCCTTACCACTTCAGTACCACTTTCTTTTTCCAGCTTAACTCAGGTATGACCTTGTCCTCTCCCAGCAGCTGTGAGGGAAGGTGCATGGCAGTTTCTTTGGAAGACCTTGTTGCTCACAGGTTTATGTTGTTATGTGCTCTTAGACTGGTGTTAAACTTCTAAATCCATCTTTCGCAGCTGTGTTGTTGACTGCAGTGTTCTCCATGTTGTGCTGCAAAGTAAATCTTGCGGCAGCTCGCAGATACCTCTTTGTTTCTCCTCCTGTCCACATAAGGCATCTTACTTCTGTGAAGATCTTTTTTGTGGATTGCAATGAAGTAGCATCTGATGCAGCCTTGCCTTGTTTTCAGTTAGCAGTATGTTTTTCTCTGAGTGCAGTAAAAGTACCTCACAGTACAGTTATGAAGAGTTTCTTTTTTTTTTTTTTTTGCATTGTAGTTTGCGCCTAATGCTACTGTAAATATTTTGTGTCGTGGTATTTATAATCACACATTTATTATCACACTGAAATCAGCATTTACAGGCTGTGCTTTGATTTGTGGAACAGGACAATGGACGCAGTAGTACTCATTACCTGTCTCTTAACATCTGAGTTTTCCTTGTGTGAATCACTTCATAAGGAAAACTTCCTTCTTTTCTCATACTGTGATATATGTATGAGATTATCCTCTCTCTGGAAGGTGATACAAACATCTTTTTTCTAGATACTTTCCAAAATAAAATTATAGAGATTCCAGAAACATAGATTATCTTCTTTACAGTATTTTTATGTATTACAGATTACTTGTAAATGTAGCTTGAAAGCCCAGAATAATTCTTATCTGGCTGTGGATCACCAATCCAAAATTTTTTTTTTTTTTTTTTCAAACTGATCACTATCTAAGTAAGCCATAGGTTGTGGATCCTTCTGTTTGTTTTTTCTTCTGTCATTTGTGAAGATAATGCTTTTCTCTAGATTTTGCCTTCACATGGCGATAGGACTAGCTGGACTTCTGTGGTTCCCATGTTATCTGTGTCTTTTTGTGTGAGACTGACATCTTCTTTTGAAGTTCCTTTTCCATCTTTCTAATTCCGATAGACTTTTCCTGCTTTCTTAATCGAATACAAATCATGTGCCACCCCCATTCCCCTGGCCTGTTGTCTTAAATTCATGTAGGAACTTCTAGTTGAATTTGGTGAGCTAGGTATTTCTACATGGCAGCTGGATTTTGAGGAACTTTGGATGTTAACTTTCAGACTATTTTTCTGTCTTTTCAGGTCTCTGGATGGCAAACTCTGAAAAGAAATGCTGGTTTGAGAGGTATGCCTCATGTAGGCCCAAATTTCCTGACTAGTATATATATTAATGATAAGGCCAAACTTCTAAGGAGTTTCTTTGCTTATCCTCTTTTTGAACTTGAGTTAGTGTTCGTTTTCAGTGCTGCAGTCTCTCTGAAAGGTGAAAGCATATACAGGGGCATTTGGCCACATTGGCGACGCAGTTGTACTGGAGAGATCTGTAATAAACTGCCTGATCATCATAATGGAAAGCTGCCTTAGTGGATGAAACACTAAAGTGACTAAGACCAGTTGACTGACACGTATATTCACTGCCAACATCTCCTGATTGTGTTCATTTTTGTTTGTTTATATTTATTTATACTAATTAGAGATATAGTGCAGATGTCCTTGTAGTTGTCTTCATGTGTTTCCTCCTGGCATGAAGTACTTACCAGACAGTCAGAGACCAATGATGTCTGGTGTCAAATGATGTTAGTTGGAACTAAGAAGAAACACAATTCTTGGTTCAGGTGATCTTTTTGGCATGTTGGCAGGATGTATCAAACTTTTTGCTTCATGGAATCATTCAGGTGCTGCTGAACAGTGCTGCACAGAGCCAAGGATGTTTAGTATTTCAGTTTCTTGTACACCCTGCCAGTGAAACTGCTGGATGGGGGAGCACAGGGAGCTGGGAGGGGATAGAACCAGGACAGCTGACCTAATCTGGCCAAAAGGATATTCTCTAACATATGACATCATGTGAAAAAAATTTAAAACTGAGCAGAGTTGGCCAAGGGGGCAGCCAACACTTAGGGACTGGCTGGGAATAAGTTGGTGAGTGGTGAGCAATTGCTTGTGCATCACTTGGCTTTGTATACATGTGTAATTATGCATACACATAATGATAACTACTGCTATTTCTCTCTTCATTTTCTGCCTTAATAAATAGTTTTTATCTCATTCTGTGAGTTCTGCTTCTCTCACTTGAGCGAGTGAATGGCTTTGTGGTGTTTAGATGCCTGCTGGATTAAACCACAACACTTTAAAACAAGACTTCTTTCAAGAATTGATTCAGGTCTCTCAAACTCCAGAAGGTTTCCTATTTCTTTAAAGCAGTACACTTCCAAGTAATTTTGTCCTGATTCAAAAATATTTTCCGGTGCAAAGTACTAAATATTTGGGTTAACAGTGGTGGTTCTTCAGCAATTGTCTGAGATATTGGTGTTGCTGTTTTTATATGCTGTGCTTAGGGTTTTTTTTTTTTCTTCTTCTTCTTTTTTTTTTCCCCTAAGTGTAAGGGAAGATGGTGCTGCTATGTTCATGTGCTTACGGACAGTAATCAAGAAAATGGAGCCACTCTGTTATCAGAGGTGCATGCTTTTGGGATGAGAGGAATTGCACACAAATTACAGTGCAGGACCATTCAGTGCCATTCAATAATTGGAGCTTTTTTTAGGCAATGACAATTGGTCAGAACCTGGAACAGGTTGCCTAGAGAGACTGTGGAGTACTCATTCCTGGATCTGTTTGAGTGAAGCGGGACTGTGCCGAAGGGTAATTCACTGTTTGTTTGAGCACAAGTGGGATTAGAGCTTTTGGGAAGTCACTTCCAATCAGCATGATCCTGTGAATCTTTGTAGCCTGCTGAGTGATCATTTATCTGTGTATTATGTTTCCTGTAAAAGCGGGTGAGATTCAGATCATTAGGAAGCATCTGTTGTTCAGTGTTTCATGATTCTAGGATTGACAGCTGTGACTTCTTTCTGTTCCAGCAACAAGATTTTGAGAGTGGAGCATTGTTTTTTGATTCTAACACTTGTTTGCTAGGTGAGGAGTGAAAAGCTTCAATTTTAGATCAAATGTCACTGTTCGGTCTACAGATACTCAGGAACATATCTACACTTCCTTGCTTGCTCTAGTATGTTACAATTTAAGAAGATAACTGTAGGAGAACAAATGAAGCACTGTGTTGTACAGATTTGCTTTGTTAATTTTTACAGGAACCTAATATTTGCAGTGTTAAACAGTGAAAAAGTGCTGTTAAGTTCTGAAAATGGTATTTAAAAAATTCAGATTCTGTTCTGTGCCCTGAAATTACATGATTTCATATCACATGATAACTTTCTTTAACATTTCAGTTCGTGAATTTGCCAGATAGACATGACTAGGATATTATATTGAGTGTATTTTTTCCATGTTTTTAACATGTATTTTTTTCTGTTGCTGAGGAGTGTATAATTTTGCTTTCCATCCAGCCAGTGGAGTATGTTTCATCCTTATGTATTTATTTATTTTTCCTGGTAAAATTGACTTTATTACACTTCGTAGCACTTTTACCTTTTCTCTGTATGGTTTGTTTGTTGTTCTGTTAATATTATGTCCCATCTCAATTGATTTACATTTGCTGCAGGTTTTTTCTAGTGCTCTGTCATGTGATTCGTGTAATAACATTGCTTGTCTCTACTATAGTGGCAGAAAAGGTTGCATCTAGCTTTTACTGGAAAATATTTTTTTTTGCTGCAGTTTTCACTATAACTTCTTTGACTTTTATGCCTCTTTAGTGGTTGGAATCAATGTGTGGTAATCCTGAATGCCTCGTTCTGCATTCCTGTCTCTACAAGTGCGGTTGTATTAGTGATGCCTAAGTATCCTTGTAGCTTAACTTCTCTTTTACACATTTTGAATTGAGATTTACAAAGTGCTCTCTACGTGAACAGTAGTTTAAAACCATCTCCTGAACTGTTTGTAAGAATGATGCTAAAACCTTTTTCCCCGAGTATTAGAAATGTTAAGTAATTCATGCAGTAGCTTCTTTATCTGGATACCTCATAAATTAGATTGAAAATGTTGAGTATGCACCTACTTTTGAAATAATTAGAAACAAAACTATAAATTAAGATTTAGAAGAGTAATTAAGTTCCTAGAATAGATTCTGACATATGTTTGGATCTGAGTTCTAGAGTATCGTGCTTCTCATTCTTCTGTCAGAAGCTAGTTGCTACCTTAATTAAGAAATCTCAGATGCCATAAAACAAGTTTGATGTTTTGTCTGTTCCTTAACTGTGAGTACTAGAATTCCTCCTAGTACATTTTGTATAGGACAATACAGAACTTCATGAGCTTATGATAAATTACGTGCTTTTCCAATGTTATAATGGAACATAAAGTACTTTGTCAACTCTAGTTTAGATCAGATTGGTATGAAGGTTTGCTTTATGATATATAGTCCTTTCTGCTTAATACCACTTCAATAAACAAAGGAGAAAAGATACGGTAAACTGAGTTACGTATTTCTTTGTGAAATTTGGGGAAAATGAGTTACCATAAAAATTCTGAAATGTATTCCCTATTAAACTAGATGAAAACTATTAGTGTTTATGAGCCATGGACTATTACCATAACAGATGCAATGCAATAATGTGGTCACATCTGAAGTGCAGGAGGCAAATTACTAAGTTATAAGCCAGTTTAGCCTGCCATTTAATTGATGTTGTCAACTTATGGTGACAATAAATTCTCATAGTTTTTTTCTCAGCGTATTGAGAAGAACATGTGTGTGTGTGTATGTTGTATACATAGTATATATGTTCTCTCTCTATATAGGTGTATGTATACATATATAGATAAATATATATATGTATATATTTTAAAGGTAACAATGTACTTCTGAAGTCATAGGTTTTGTAAACTGCTTTCTCTGAGCAGCTGAGATTGCGGCCAAAGAAGTTAATGAGCTGTTTTAAGTTTTAATTCTTCATTTTTGCCTGTTTAGTAGTAGTTATGCTCTCCTTTGTATTGAAGAATGAAAAGCTTTCTAATTCACATTTCTTAGTACAACAAACTGCAGTTCTGCCAGTGAAGCAATTTTAATTTGGAACATGTTCTTCTATTAACCTCCGTTTAAATAAAATGAAATTCCAGGTTTACTTTTCAGCTGTTACTGAGATGACTTCAAAATTATGCTTTAATATAGTGAATAAAGGCAGGCCTTAAGTGTAGTTGTACATGCTATGCTAAGTCAAATGCAATTCTTTTAAATTCTCAGTTTTAAAAATACTTTCTAATTGTTCTGAGGATTTTTTCTTTTTCTTTTTCTTTTTCTTTTTCTTTTTCTTTTTCTTTTTCTTTTTCTTTTTCTTTTTCTTTTTCTTTTTCTTTTTTCTTTTTCTTTTTGGGTGTGTGTGTGTGTGTGAAATTTCTCCTGTGACTAGTAACTGCTTAGATAAGCAGAATGATAGGATTTCACCTTAAATCCAAGTCCTGTGGGCAGTGAGCAGCTTATTAACAGTGCGGTAGTGAAACTTTGACTTGAAATAATGTGAAATGACCAGTATTTCACACCTTCTATTTCTGTGAAGTTTTCTAAAAGTTAGTGCTATCGTGTGTGTGTACATGCATGTGTTTATACATATAGAATGTATGAGAACCTTAAGTTGTGTAAACATATCTTTAAGGTGAATTATAGTTAATAATTTATCACCAAATTACCTATCACTAAATTCACTGCAACTGTGTTTCTGTATTTCTTTTCTGTAGACACCAAAGATGCTAACCAGAAAGATTAAGCTCTGGGACATTAATGCCCATATAACCTGTCGTCTGTGCAATGGATACCTGATTGATGCTACCACTGTAACAGAATGCTTACATACATGTAAGTATGATTATAATTACATTCAAGAGATTGGTTTTTTTTCCTTGGTGTGCAACATGATGTAACAATTTTTAGATGAAATTCAAAAGTCTGTTGTGCAGCAGCCAGAAAAATACGTGCTTTTCTAGACTTTTTTTTTTTTAAATTAACAATTAAGAAGATGATGATGTTGTTTTCACAAAGTGAGTGAAGAGAGGATGTTAAAGCTGTAATGCATGAACTTGAAGCCATATACAAGTGATAATATACATATTAAAAAATGCAGCCTATTTTCATGCGGATAGAATGTAGTATGCATAGTTTTCTCTTCGGTGACATTTGACACAGCATATGTTCTCTACCTGCAGTCTCCTTGCTCTTGCTCTCCTGTCTCTATGAAGAGAGCAGACATGTTTGATGAGGAATAAGTAAATTACTTTCTACTCTAGAAATAGGGTTTTGTTCTGGAACATTTAACTGAGGCTGTTATGTTGCACTGTGAATTTCAAGTTTCACATCAGTGAATCAGGCCTTAGAACATCACAAAGCCTTAGATTTAAAACAAACAAACAAACAAACAGGGCCAAAACAAAAACAAACAGCAACAACAGAAACGAAATAATTTCTCTTGAAGTTATAAATTCATCCCTATATCTTTGTTGCTGACATAATGAGATGAGGTTTGAAAAATGGTGATGAACAAAGGTCCAGAAGGACTCAACATAAATCATTCCTTCTGTGGAGGAATTTAGTCCAAGGTGGCAGTGCCAGGACCGTTATTTGTTTTGAATCAGAGTTTCATTTGCCAAGGTAGATATCATCTGAGGAATTAACTTTCCAATCAAAAGACTCATGGTAGTAGTGTTAAATGTCCTTTGTAGCTGCCTCATGATATGTAGAAATCAAACCCTATAACCTGTAAGGATATAGGGAAGGTATGTTTTATTGGCAGTTGCTCAAAAGCCCTGGTGCAAGGGGGATAATTCCTCCAAGCTTGCACACTGTCAGGAAGAATGCTACAGTGCTACAGATATAGACCAAACTGATACATAATCAATAGTTCTCCCAGAATTCAGTTACATACTCATTACAGCCCTGAGAGTTCATTAGCATGCATACCCTCCCCTCTTGGGCATGCGTAGTGGGTCATGGCATGAAGATTTGTTGTTTTCCTCGCGAAGGCTTCTGACCTTTTTTGCTGTAAATTTCTGACCTTTTGGGGGGGCATCCCCCCAAAACAGTTTCTTCTTGCCTCATGAACATCTAATCATCTCTCTGCCAAATGTCCTCGGGCTGTTCTCAAACCCTTATCTGTATGGCCTTCATTCCCCTCACTATCTAAGACCCAGTGTCTGCCATCCCTTATTTTCTAACAAGCTCTACATTCTTGCTTCTATAAACTATTTCTAACTATTCCGCTTCACCCCCCTTATTCTCAGTCACTGTGAAGCCTTCTTGCCTTTTTACTTCCATTTATGGGGCCCTTCTCACCTTTCAAATCCCCCCTTTTCTTTAATCTAGCAGGATTTCCACTTGCTAGATTACTCCTTTTTAGCTGTTAATAGATCTATTGCCATCCTGTTTTGGAGGATGAGGATGACCTATTTGGACAAAGATTGGATCGTTTGTAGTGCATTTGTTGTGGCACTTTCTACTATTTCTAGAGTTGCAGAGATATTCACTATAGCCTTTTCCACTCTTAAGACCAGGATAAGGGCTCTCACGAAACTATGGTATCCTATATTATATCTTACCAATTGGTCATTTACCCTTTTAACCCTCCTTGGATTTTATACTGAGTCCAAGTAGTTCTCACTATGCCCGGTGGGAGTTTGAGCTCTCCCATCTCCGCACAGCCACCAGAAACCTTTACCCAGATGACGGCTGGGTTCATTATATTACTTCCATTATGATATTCATGCTCACTAATGAAAGTGTTATTACCTTCCTTAATAGCAGCCTCTGCTAATTATGGAAATGTAAGGTTTATCCAAATAAAAGGGAGAAGAGTGACAATCATAAATTTAACAATAACAAATAAATAAATATAACACAAAACATAGTACTATTGCAGGCAAAATACAAAATGTAACAGCACACAACATCTACTTGCCACAGACACCACGCCATGAACACCCAGATAAAGCAAATTAGTAACCGACTCATCTTTTCTTTATGAGTTTAACTTTTGACGGTGCACTTTCCTTGACAGACCAAGTAGTTCCTCAGCATCTTGGAATAACCTCCTGTAACAATACTTTAGTTACCCCACGTGCCTTATTAGTTCTAAGGGAATGCCTCTGGCCACTGTAAAAAGCTGTCAGTACCAACATACAGCAATACCCCCTTTTTCTTGGGAGTTCCGAGAAATCAAATTGCCATCGTTGCCCTCTCTTCTAAATCATTAATTAGATTCCTATTCTCTCTAGAGTATTTTACAGGTTCTGACTCAGCTTCAGAGATTTTAAGTTTACCATCTGGAATGAAATTCTTCAAGTGCCTGTTCTGCCGCCTGACCCACCATCTTAGTTCCAGTTTCCTGTACAGTGTTACCTTTCTGATGTCCTTTACAATGTATAATAGCCAAGCTCTTTGGTAGATTTACATCGTGCTGTTTTCCTTGGGTGTGCAATCCTTGCTCTTTCCAGATGTTACTACCAGTGTGTAGCATCCCAAATATGTAATTAGCACCTGTCCATATAATTAAGGCTCTTGTTATTTCAAGGCAGTTATTTCAGCCTTCTAAGGGAAAGTCCCCTCAGGTAATGGTTGTGCTTCGATGATCTTGTCAGTTGCAGCTACTGCATATCCTGCCATACAGTTTCCTTGTCTCACAAAACTGCTGTCTTCTGCATCTTCTAAGGGCTCGTCCTTCAGGTCCGACTGGCTGGAATATGCAGCTTCAGTTGTTTCAAAGCAGTCGTGAAATACTGGTTCTCCAGGAGTTCCGCTAAGGAAAGATACTGGGTTGACGATATTAGTTACAATTATTTCTACATCATCCTGCTGTACCAGGATGGCCTGGTATTTCAGGAACCTTTGGAGTGAGAGCCAGTGCTCTCTTTTTACCTACAATACAGCAGACACTGTATGAGTTATTATTCTTTGGTGTTATTCTTTGGCCTAGCATAACTTCACTGGCTTCTTGAATATTGAGTACCAGTGCAGCCACCGCCTTCAAACACCCCAGCCATTCCTTACTCACTTCATCAAGCTGTCTGGAGAAGTGTGCCACTGCCCTTTGATAGGGTCCATGGCTCTGGGCAAGAACTCCCAGGGCTATTCCTTGTTTTTTATGCAAGAACAGCCAGAAGGGATTAGTCATGTCTGGTAGCCCCAGAGCAGGGAGCCTTCATGAGTTCTTCTTTCAGCTGGGGAATGCCCTCCTTGCTTCCCATTTCATATAATATTTTGGCTTTACCAACAGTCCATAGCTGTGTATCCACAGTCAGCACCATCCTGTCATTCCTGGGAACGTACGGAGTTCCTTGGCAGGTTGTGACTCGGGTTTGGCAGATGGCTTCTTTCCTGACAGTCCTTAAGGTTCAAAGTCCAGCTGTAATCTCATATCCCAAATACATCACTTGCTATGGAGTTATTTGTGCTTTCTGTTGAGAAACTTGAGAATCATTTAAACCAAGAAATTCAGCAAACTTACAATCTATTGCACACAGTCCTTTTTTGTTTCTGTGACATCCACGTACTGCAATAAAGTTATGCCTTGGGATGGAGGAACCCAATCTCAGGTTCATGAATTGACCAGCTCTCAAAAGTCACTGAGTTGTTCTCACAACCCTGGGTAACACTGTCCAGGTTAACTGAGCCTTTTCTCCCTGTATTGGGGTGTTCCTATTCGAAGGCAAATAACCTTAGACTTCCTTTGGCCAAAGCAGGCAGAAAGGGCATCCCTCAAATCCAGAAGGTAAACTTCACCTACTCATTCCTAAACTTGGTTAATAAAGTGGATGGATTTGCCACCACTGAGTGTATGCATTCAATTGTTCTATTACTTGCCCTCAAATCCTGTACCCACATTCCTAAGCATATCTTATTCAAGATTTCTATAACTTCTGGGTCTACAGTCTTGTTTTTCCCAGTTTGTGTTAAAGCCAGACTAGAATTTTCAATCAGTTAATAGCGTTTGATCCTTAGCTCCAGTGTTATTTAATTTCTTGCCAGAATACCTTGGCATGTACAGGAATTCATGTATTCCTACTTGTTTTCTCAGCCTATATTTAGTTGATCCCAAAAAGTAAGCCTTTTCTTACTGGGCATTAGCTCCTACTACTGTTCCAAAATCATTTATGGGTGGTAAGAGGCACTCATATCCACCAAAAGATAAACCTATTTATCCTGCTCCCCTAGCTGCAATTTAACCAGTGAATCTGCTAGGATAAACTTCCCAGGTTCCTACCCTTTGGCTTTGCAACCAGAGACGATTCCCTCTTTCTCCACAGTTTTCACACTGCTTTCATTCCAGTGGAGTGGAGCCCTCCCTGGGCTCTTCCAGCCCCCCCGTCTCTCTGAGTGGATCTCTGGGTCCTACAGCCTTGCTCTAGTGCCACAACAGTAGCAGCTGCTGTTATTCCAAGTTTCCTTACTATCTCTGTTTCTCAATCTGTTTTTTTGTTTGTTTTTCCTTCATGTCGCTCACCTCCCTTCAGTCCTGACATCCGTATCACACCCTTCTCATCTTTGCCTTCCTCAGCCTGTGTCCTTCCCAAAATTTTCACTTTCCAAACTCTTGTCATTACATCAACCACTAACATCATATTTCAGTTTTATCTCCTCCTCTCCAGAGGCCTCCAGTGCAAACAGTGGGATTTAAGATTTCCTGGATCCCTGCAGATGAAGGCTGTTCTCACTTCCAGTGCCCTATCCTCCCTGTCTCCCCCTTTGCAAGTAATGCTGTTTACAGCAGCAGTCCCTGTCCTGGCTCACTCTCTCACACCAAGTTCTGCTCTCAGGGGAACAGTGCAGGGGGGTTGCTCTCGTGCCAGCGCAGATAAACTCACTTTTTCTTTTAACCCTTTTTCTTTTGTACGTTATTCCACTATCTGTACCCTCAGTTATACTTCCAGATACTCTCAATTCTACTTCTGTATACCAGTAACAATTACACTTATACCATCAAAACAGTTTTTTTGATTCCCAATCCACTTGGTATTTTACAACTACTAAGATAAGAACAACAGTTAACAAGACAATTAGTGAAACAGATAACACGACAAAGACAAACTTTCGCTTCGTCTGTCCCAGTCCTTTTCCCTTAGGGGAGGACAGAAGTGTGGGTCGGGACTCCACTCTTACCCTGTAGCTTTGCTGTGACTCACTCACATCACACTCACTCAGGACACACAAGACCGGTCTTAGCCAAGTTCAAAATTCCTCAGAGAGTATTTTGGTGGTACTAATACAATGGCTTGTTCAAATACGTGGTACCGAATATAGCAATAGATGGTGAACGAGCATGCAAACCCAAAACTCCTGCTACCACAGCAAGGAGAGCCCAGGCAACCTTTCAGAATACCCTCTATCCTGTCACCAACTAACTAACCTAAGGGGGAGCAATAGCTCTCTTCCTTGCGTACAACTTACAGGTCCCCCTTCCCAGTCACATACCTGGTCCGCCGATGGTCCTTTTCTGTTCCCGCAATGATTGGGTGAGAAAAGGGAGTCCTTCTGAGAAATCTCGGGGCACGCCAAAGGCATCCCCTCTCTCAGCTGGTCGTGCAGCCAGAGTGGGTTCCATCTGGGGTGTGAAATTGGCATGTGGAAATCAAACCCTATAACCTGTAAGGATATAGGGAAGGTATGTTTTATTGGCAGTTGCTCAAAAGCCCTGGTGCAAGGGGGATAATTCCTCCAAGTTGCACACTGTCAGGAAGAATGCTACAGTGCTACAGATATAGACCAAACTGATACATAATCAATAGTTCTCCCAGAATTCAGTTACATACTCATTACAGCCCTGAGAGTTCATTAGCATGCATACCCTCCCCTCTTGGGCATGCGTAGTGGGTCATGGCATGAAGATTTGTTGTTTTCCTCGCGAAGGCTTCTGACCTTTTTTGCTGTAAATTTCTGACCTTTTGGGGGGGCATCCCCCCAAAACAGTTTCTTCTTGCCTCATGAACATCTAATCATCTCTCTGCCAAATGTCCTCGGGCTGTTCTCAAACCCTTATCTGTATGGCCTTCATTCCCCTCACTATCTAAGACCCAGTGTCTGCCATCCCTTATTTTCTAACAAGCTCTACATTCTTGCTTCTATAAACTATTTCTAACTATTCCGCTTCACCCCCCTTATTCTCAGTCACTGTGAAGCCTTCTTGCCTTTTTACTTCCATTTATGGGGCCCTTCTCACCTTTCACTCAAAGATATCTTTATATTACAACATTTTAGCAAAAGTATTTTTTGAGCTGTATTCAGAACCAACACATTTATGTAAGCTGGGCCCTCTCTTTGCTTGTATCTGCTAAAAGCTTAGAACATCATTGGTTTTGTTTGTGTAGACCTGTTTTAGTCTATTTAGTAGTACTTGCCATGCAACTTCAGAAACCATTTTAAAATGCATCTGTCACAGTATTAGTAAGTTTAATAAGTTTATTGTTTCTGTCGCACTTCCTTGCCATTCTTTTTATTCTTATGTCCCTTCTGCTAATGCTTCATATTGTAATTTCCACAGTGTGCTTCCTGGAGTGCAAGGAGACAATTAGATCCTTAAGCTTGGCTTCTACTTAATTTTCTTCTTAACTACTGCTATTAACAGGATTACATATGAAAACAGTATTGTACAAAGTCATGTGGCTGACTTAGATCTACAGATTCCTTTTTTGTTCTTTCACAAGAACAAACAACCCTTTCTCTCTGTTGACATAATCTAAGGTGTTTCTCACATTCATTTATGAAGTAAGTCTTTACTAATCCATAATATTTTCTCCAAAAGCAAGGGAACACTACTTGCTTTTTATTTATCACCATTCTGTGGTTTTTGGAGCCCTTATCTTACCTGTTTTTATTTTCAGAATACTACCTCCAAGTGTGTCCAGTAGCACTGGATTTTTTATTTTTTTTTTGGACGGGAAGCACAGCTTTGTATAAAAAACAGCAAAACAAAAAACAAAACATTTTCTACAAGTTGGCGCTATTTATGTTGTGTATATTAATACTAATGATACACACTCCTGAGAAAGCATCCTTGCAGAATCTACCCTGAAAGTGCCTTGCCTGTTGAGATAATGAATTCTCCACTGAGTTGTAATTTTCTTTCTGCTTCTACTCATAACTATGCAGTTACCTCATTACTCTTCATATCCCTCTCCTCAGACATTCGTAGACTTTTCAGCAGTAAAGGGAATACTGGAAACCTGCGGTGAGAATCTTCTTAATGGAAAACACACTTTTTCACTTCCTTTTATGCTTCATTTCTCTTCTCCATCTCTAGATTGTCAGTGACAGGCAAGCCTCTAAATGAGTAGGTAAAACATTCAGTGGTAGAAATTCATTATTAAATCTTTACTAGTGTACCTCTGTCTCGTGGTCAGAGTTCTAGGTTGTCAGATATATGTAAGTCTTTATAAACCTTAATATTTTCAATTTGATATTCATTGAAGTTATGTGTAAACGATATTTTGAAATGAGAAACAGAAGGTAGTATTTTGTGAGTTCATGAGGATGATGAACAACAGCTGTTTGTTGAACTAGATATAGAATGGGAATTGTCAAGAAGAGAGAAGCTACACAAATAAATAATCAACTTCCCTATTCCTTTCCTAGTGCATGTTCTTGGATATGCTTAACTGTGAAAGCAAGAAAATATACTCAGTTTTTTTTTATTTAGTTGTTGTGGGTGGACTAATAAGCCTATCAGAATATAGGCTGACTTACTCCGAGTTCTGTTTAGTAGGAATTGATGTACGCTTCTTCCAGACTGGAAGATTGATTGAAATAGGAAAGTAGAACTGCTGCTGTGGCATTCCACGGCCACATATTGCTATGCAAGGTCTATGCTTTGTGTTCAAAGCTATGAGTCTTGACATGACCATAACTTCTACCAGCTGTGGTACTGTCACTATGAATGTGTAAATACAATATAAAGTACAAAGTCCTTATGCCTGCTTTGGTGCTGTGTAATTTTCTTGATATTACCAGCTGTTTATTGAAATGTACCATCATCCTGTCTGAGAGCTAGATGGCACTGTAGTTACAGAAATACTTTTACATTGTGTAATGAGTGCATTAATACCAAAATTAAATAAACTGGTGTTGCCTGAGAGAAAAGTAATTTCATTTTTTTTTTTCCTTAGCATATAAAGTTGGAGTTGTATTTAGAACTTCAAGTGAGTCAGAGAATCACATATTGGTGTATATTACCAATACTGTTTCTTAATAAATAGTTTATTTTGAACCAGGTGCAGATGAGCATGCATATGTATCTGGAAAACGTTTCAGTGGCATTCATCTCTATAATGTAGCACTGCTTTAGCAGCCTTCACCAACTCTTTCTATGAATACTTAAGATCTGTCCCCATTTAATTATTTTTCTGAGAGAAATTTAACTGTCACATACCCTGTGAAAGTTAGAAATGAAGTAACCACCGGATATTCAATCTTGGAGCTTCCTATTCTTGAAAAAGGAAAAAAAAAGAAAAAAATACTACTTAAAATAATTTCTGTGTCCTACTTTCATTTCCACACGTGCCTTATTTCTGTATGCAGCCATGGTTAATGCAAATTGGCTTAGTGCCTTAATGGCATACAGTGCCTGTAATATCATTTGTGTAAACTGGATGCTGCAAGCTGACCTGATAGAAATAGCTGTTCTAGTAAGTTCCAAAATTGGATTGTGTGTTGTGTGCTGTATTAGGCAGACTCTGTCTATGTAAAGGTGCTTTGATTCTAAGCGCAGCACTTCCCTGTATCTAGAGCCTATGTGAGAAATGTTGAAAACTGCATTCTGCGTGGTTAGACATGACTGTATGATGGAAAAAATTGCTGTTATGTATATTTCAGTAAGAAGCATTTTGCAATGATATAAAAACAGGCTTTTCTGTTTTTCACTATGCTTGTTTTATTTCTTTTTAATTATGAATGTCCCTTTTATCAGTCTGTAGAAGCTGCCTGGTAAAATATTTGGAAGAAAACAACACCTGTCCAACATGTAGAATTGTTATACATCAGAGCCACCCTTTGCAGTATATTGGGTAAGTAAGAAAACAGAAATGCAACTAGTTTCACTCTAGGTTGTTTTAAACTCTTTAATACAGGACAACTTTCTCCTGAAATGTCTTATGTGCTGATCAGCAGGCAATAAATTTAAATGTAAGTTTGAATTGAAATTTTATGAGGAGATGCAAGATCAGACTTTCCTATGAATTTTCAACTCCTTGACATCTGTTAGGATTTTCAAGGCTTAAGAACATGCAAACTATGCACTTTCCTGTTTAATTTTTGAGCAAGTTTTAATGGATCATAGAAGATACATAAATGAAACATGTATAAAAATAATATTTTTACTAAATCAGCAAAATTATTTTTAATGTCTGATACATGTATAGTATGATAGGATATGATATGTATGTGTCAGGTATTATCTGTGTATGCTTTGAATGCACAAGTAGATGCCAATAGGAAGGAAGGAATTTATGTGACTCAAGACAACATCTTCATCTACTGTAAAGCTACAGGAATACAATACCTTGGCTTAGAACTTTGTTTTCAGAGCCAAAAGGGGCCAGGAAGCAGAGCATCAAATTGAGAAAATATAGAAAGGAATTCACAAGTTGTTTATGGTCACAGAACACTTTAAAGGAAGTATTCTACCTGTAATGGTCATAAAGTACTGCCCCTTTGAGACTAAAATAGTCTGCCTAGCCTACTTTTGTCTTATTTATTTATTTATGGAATAAATAATCGTTAGTCAAAAGTTTCACTGTATGTGTTAGAACATGAATTCTTCACTTGTGTTCATCTCCCTTGTCTGAAGAACCTATAAACCAAATGTGTTTTCTCTTTTACAATTCTTAATGATGTTAAATGCTCACTTCTGACGTTGAGATGATGGTAGGTTCACTCATTTTTGTTGAAATATTTTTGGAGAAATTGCCAAAACATCCATGTGGTGCCAAGCCAGTATAAATGGGATTGCTATTGCTTGAAATTATATGAATTTTAGGATTAATGATATTTTGGTTCTCCATGTAGTCCTACTTCAAGAGATACATAATCATCCATTACACTCTTCGAATTGTTACCATTTCTGTAATTGTTCACTGATCTCCACTGCTGTGAAGTGCACGTCAGGTGATGAGAAACCCGAGACTACTCTTGTAAGCCCGTTGTCTTATTTAAGTCAGATCCAGGATTTCATATTGCAGGGTCTACTGAGGTACCTTGCAGCAGCTGAGACAGATACTTAGATTGTTTCTGATTTTATTTATGGATTAGAATTTAGGATAGTACTGTATTTCTTTCAGACTGTGACTTATTTTAGACTAATGTAGAAATTGCAGGCAAATAGTAAGTAAATTATGATTTAAAACAGAGATTTATATTTGTGAACTTGCTACTGAGGTTTAGAATTTCAACCAGTCCTGACATGTTGAGTTTCTAACGTTTCTTTCATTTGGGGCATATTATCTTTATGGGCTTCATAGATAAAAGCATGGCTTAAGAGCAAAATCAATTTTTCTTTATGTTGTTGTCTTCTTTCTTTCGTGTGTGTGTGTTATTTTCTTTCATTTTTGTTAAGACTGGTAGGGGTAATGCAGGAAGGTGAGGGATGAATCTGTAGATACAGAAAACATACTACCTGTGATTCTTTTCTACTAAAAATTTGTTTACCTTAAAGTTTAAAGGAATTTCGAGATTACTGGTGATGTGTGCCTGACTGCTGAAGGGAACAGCCTAATTCTCCCTCTTACTTTTATGGGCCTTCTATCTTAGTCTTTATCTCAGTTCCTTTCTAACTATTCTCATCTCTTATTTTATGTAAAGCTTGAAAATCGAAATTCTTTTTTAACAGACTTAGAGCTTTTAAATCATTTTAGCACTGAGACTTGTTTAGCACATATGTTTTGAAAGAAGATAGTTGAGTTACTGATTCTGTTTTTTTCCCCCTTGATAGTCATGACAGAACAATGCAAGATATTGTTTACAAACTTGTGCCAGGCCTCCAAGAAGGTAAGTTGTAGTATGATCCTTTTTTTAGACACAGTTTTGCACATACTTCTGTAACAGTTAAAAAACAAACAAGCAAAAAAAGCCCACAACGAAATAAAAAATCTCACAGTTTCAAGTGACGAAGTACAGAAGGGAGGGGAAATTGAGGAGAAATAAAATATACAGCATAAAATTTGTTCTTTCATTAGTTCTATTTCTTGTGATTGATTTGGTTTCATATCTGTACTAGCAGTAATTTTGTTGAGAAGAAGAAAAATGCAAGATGGGATATTTAATCAAAAAGTACTAAACCACAGCTATTACTAAACCACAAAATTAGTTCAGCTTTTACATATTGGCACAATGCAGCTGCTGTTTTTTTTTTTTATTTGTAAACTGTGGACATAGACCTATTATGCCAGATTTCCAGAATTCTCGGAGGTAGAATGTAATGCTGGACTGATTTTAGTTTCAGTGAAGTTTTCCTCTACTGAGCGAGTCCTTCCTCAACAGGTGGCTTTTAGTTTGTATTTATAATAATTCTCTTAATAATAATAATAGTAGTAGTAGTAGTAATAATAATAATAATAATAATAATCCTCTTTGAGAGTGGATCTGTTCAAATAAACAAGTACTTTATAGTAACTATCCTATGATATTTTTGTCACAACATTTTGTCACTTATTTACATCACAACTTTCATTTAAATAGAATATCTTAATTCACTTATGATGAACAATGGATTTCTCAGATATTGATAAGCAAGCTGAAATAGATTATATGAAAATTATTTCTAGTATATTGAAAATCAGAACAGTAAATAAAAATTCAAAAACAGTAGTTTGACTAAAATGTTGTGGGAAGGATTCAGAATAAGGCACAGTACTTAAAATCATCTCATTTTCATAAGAATGTTACCATAGTAGCTATTCAGATGACTAGTATTCTGACTCTGGCAAACAAGGTCAGCCATGACTTGATGCAGTAGCAAAGATAGAGGATTAAGTGGTGACAACATCACTACTTGTTGGCAGTCTTGTTCCACTTGAATCAGAATAAGTAGAACACGCAAATCAGAAACACTGTATTAGAACTTCATTGCAGTGGTTAATATTTACAATTTTTTAAACAGCGGAAATGAAAAAGCAAAGGGAATTTTATCACAAACTGGGCATGGAAGTTCCAGGAGACATCAAAGGGGAGACATGTTCTGCAAAGCAGCATCTGGATTCTCATCGAAATGGTAAATGTTTTTATTTATTTATTCTTTCTTGGGTAGAGTGCTGCTCATAACTGTCAAACAGGGCTGCCAGAGGTATGTGTCCAGTTGGTTTTTAAGAATTGCTTCATCATGCTGTACAACAGACTGCACGTAGGCTGGTTTTGCTTCTTATTTGTTCATGTAACCTTTATTTTTAGCTTCTGCTTCACTCTTGGTGAAGGCGATCTCCAGAATAGTACCCGCATGGGGACTCAGTGAAACTTCACAACTCCTGCACTGCTAGCAGCTGGACTGAACGCTATGCTGTATACTTGTTCTGCTCTTTTATGTGTGGGTCTGTTGGCAGCTTGTGTTGCAAAACAAAATAATTACTGTCTGGGAAGTCATTCTGTATTGCAGTCATGAACTCTGCTGTTTGAATCATGTTAACGTGAGAATCTCCTGACAAGTGATATCCCACATATCTGCTTTCTTACCTAAGGTGAAACTAAAACAGATGAAAATTCAAACAAAGAAACTTCAGAGGAAAAACAGGAAGAAGATAATGACTACCACCGAAGTGATGAACAGGTGGGCTCATAGGTCTTGTTTTATTTTTATCTGGGGTTTTAGATTTAGGGCCTTGTTAAATTACTAAGGAAAAAACTGTTTCAGGCTTTTTTTTTTTTTTTTTTTTTGTTCACTGCCAAAAACAAGATGCATTGTTGCACCGTGATTTCGTGTAAGTATGGTTTACTTATTGGGATATAGCAGGAACAGATAATATTTTAAACGCACTGGTATTTCTGTCATTTTACTGAGTTTCAAACTGTTTATTGGCTTTCAGATTAATACAGATTCAGCTTATTTGGGTCCCTTTATGAATGGGGAATTATTTATGTCTCAGTGTTATTCTGATACACTGAACTGAATGTGTGTTAATAATTATGAATAAAACCTTGTTCTTTTTTTCTGAACAGTGATAGTTCTATGCCATCAAAACAGTATGAAAGCTGGAAAGTCCACCATCAAGTTGTAAATACAGTGCACATTTGAAATTGAAATCTCTTGCTAGGATATACCAGCTATGCCTTTTATATTTTTCTGATATGTCTCCAGTGCAAATTTACCTTGGATTAATTTTCAATTATAAAACAAGAGAACTTCCAAAGGGATTGTACTTAACACTAGATCCTTTTTGCACGTAAAGTGAATCATCACAGAGCTTAAACTAAATAACAAATTGGTGGATGAGAAAAGTGAGAATTGAAGCATAGAAATGGAATAAACTTTATTTTGATGCCTATCCTTAGAATTTTATAAGTATATTACATCATTTTTGTCCATTCTTTTAAAATTTGCTATTTTCTTTTAAATTTACATTAAAATTCTCTAGAATTAGCAATTGCATTAAAAGCAAGGAGTTACAGAAGAAACAATTGTTAAGAATTGAAAACGATTTTCTTATTATATTTCAGACTCTTTTTAGGTGTAGGGTCCTCATGAGTTTTTGGTAGCCTGTGAATTTGCACTGACACATACTTTTTCCATCATTAAGAGAAGAATTTTTAGTCAAGCGTGCTTATCACTAAATGACAAGTTCTTAGGAAATGTTTTCTTTAATTGGACTACATGCATTTCACTTTAAGGAATATTAGTATTTTTCACTTCATTGTATTAATGTGAACTGCTTATGGAATACATAATGAGGACTGCAGTCACTTCTTGCACCCAGCTCTGACTGCTTGCTTTTTCCTGAAGGTAAGCATCTGCTTGGAATGCAACAGCAGCAAACTGCGTGGATTAAAACGAAAATGGATTCGCTGTTCAGCACAAGCAACAGTCCTGCATCTAAAGAAGTTCATTGCCAAAAAACTAAACCTTTCTTCTTTTAATGAGGTAATATTTTAATCTTCAAATATAATTCTGTGCATAAAAAGTTCTATGGAGAAGTGTGGGATCATTCTTTTTCAAAGCAACATCTTATTTTACTTCCTGAAAGTAGCAGCAAACACAGTGTCTTAAATTGTATTCTGTATAGTCATTTTTGTAAGCTAAGGAGGTGAATTTAAACAAGTTATTTTTCTACAAATATAATATTTTTTTCACTTTCAGTTTAGGATTTATGGTCTTATTTCCTGTAGATTTTCCTTCTTCCATTACTCTTTATCCTAAATACTACAGTTAAAATGTAGCTTGGGTTTATAAAGGATTTGCCTATTAGTTTGCAGTACATCTTTTCATGTCCATCCTTGGGCCAAATGGCTTTGTTATGATCTTCTACATGCACTTGAAACAGACTTTTTAAGGAGCTTTATTTCATACATTATATTCAGGTGCATATATGGCTGTTTCATAAACATGGCCCTTGCAGAGGTTTCACATTCACTGCAGGGAACAGTCAGTAACAAATAATTAAGCACTACTGATGTTGACAGTGCTGTCAATGAAGTTGCTACCCAACGTGTTATATCCTTCCTTTCCAAGGGAGTACTTGGAATCATATAAAGAACTTACGGTGAACTGTACCAAAAGAAATACAATTTTTTCACACTTCTCGCATTTCAGATTCCAAATTAACACTTACGACAAACATGTAATGCAGCTTCTGTTGACTACTTCTTTGGGTCTTGCTCACAGACTCATTTCATCTCAATCATTTGCTTTCTAGTCTGTAGTGTCAAAATCTTTCTATTCAAACTACTCAGCAGCTGGTTTGTATCCTTATTGTTCTTGTATTCCAGCTTCTCTGATTTCACACCACTCTATTTTAGTGCCGAAACTTACCTAGGCTTCCTGAAACAAAACTGGAACATCTTCTTTCTTGTCCTCATCTGGTTAGTAAGCTGTTGAATTGCGGCTGGAGCCCAACAAGAGCATCACTGTTTGAAAAGGGAGTCTTTTTTCCCCTTTAAATCAGAGATTTTTTTAAAGACAGAGCTTTGATTTTGTGTGTAAGGCCCCCTGCCCCATGCCAGTAGTCTCTGATGTAACAGCCTACTATCATTCCTAAGGAAGAAACAAACTGTAACAGGTACTGTTTATTCTTCTGCCACCTCTCCTACTTTCTTATAGGATATATAAGTTGTGGTGCAGTTAGTGTATTAGTGCCAGGAAATTGATTTGTGTTAGCAAGTGTTAAGTTTTAGGCATTTGCTCACTGCAAGTTATTCAAGGTCTGAGTTATCACTAGATTTTTAGATTGCCCAATAAAATGATGTAAAGCTTTTGGGAAGAGGGCATTAGCACTGCTTGCGAAGGTAAATCAAAGTTAAGTCCAGTTCATGCAGAGTATTAGAGGAAGGTACAGCACTTCTATGTTGAGAAAAGACATTGTTTTCTTTTTTTAAACTACCTTTGTCTGCAGAGCAACTGCAGGATGAATAGTTCCATAGTCTTTGGAGAAAATAAATCATGCCTAAAATTTGTAGTATTGTTTGAAACATATTTCACAGATTGTGTCTCAACACATTGACGTCTTCTTTGTATTGTTAGCTGGACATATTATGCAATGAAGAGATTCTTGGCAAGGACCACACGCTCAAGTTTGTAGTTGTTACAAGATGGAGATTTAAGGTATGACATCGTGATTTCAAATAAATCATAAAATGTCTAAATTAAGGTTGTCTAGATAAAGAATGTTTTTAAAATATGTGGCTCTCACAGTTACAAAGCAATAACTGCAAACTCATGGCTATCTAATGCAGCATTTTCAAACAGTAAATATTAAATTTGATTAAATATAACGAACAAGGGAAGATGGTATGTTGCATCAGCTGTCAAACTGTGATCAACTCTGGCAAATTAATTGGAAGCTACAAGAAAGTATTAATTTTAGCTGTGATAGGTGAAACTGATTGTACTCCGTGTAGGTGGGGAAAGGAACTGTGATGCAGGAAAGGCAGAAATTTTCAAAACAGTTCTTTCCTGTAGCTGAACAGGACAACTTTATTCCTCAGGGAGAAAGAGAAATTGCATTGCTTGCTTGCCTTAGTTAAGGAGAATTCCAACAGTGTTTAGCAGGCATAAACATGGCATGTTAAATGTGTTTGAGTACATCTTTAACTTACTGATTGTGTTTCTCTGAACAACCCCTTTGCAACTAAATAATAAAGTGGAACATCTAATATGTTAGTTATCACATTAATAATAGCATCTCAAGTGAAACAGATGTAAGAATGAATTGCAAAGTTGGGCACTTATGAGTTGTCACACTTACAGATTCACTGTATGTATATTTGATGCTCTTTGAAATAAGAGGTGGAATAGTGGACAACAAACACAACACAAGCTTACAGTGTATACTGAGATAGAACCACTTAGTGGCTGTGGATGGCTGTCTGAAAGATGTGCAGGTGGGAGTAGGAGAGTGTCTCCTTCTCTGTGTGTAGTAAAGCAGTTTCTTTTCTACATATAGCTGCATAGCAGATACAGATAGAAGGCAGAGGTCAGCCTTTGATTTGCAGAGAGGTCACTATTAGAATCCTACTAGAATTTGTTCCTGAATGATCAAGAGGTTTGAAAATGCAGTAATATCTCAGTAATAATAAAATAAAATAAAAATAATCTGTGGTTATTTGGGATAGCAAAGTCAGATTAATCACAAAGTATTTAAGAAAGCCTTTACAGTTCTGTGTGATTAGAGATTGATGGGTGATGCCTCAAGTTCAGTGTAGGTTACTGGGGATAACACTGTGCTGAACTTTAAACAATGACAAATTGTAAGCTAACTGAATTTGCGAGGATTTAAATCCTAATGTAAGAAAAAAATGCTGGGAATTTTTATGAAAAATAAATAATTGAACAGGAGCATCAAATTGATGTACTATTCATAGTTATCATGGAGATTTCTGTACTTTTGAATCAAATGGAAAAGGCAACTGTGTATTGACATCTTAAATGAAAGAGGTGGAGAGTGTAAGATGAAACTCATAGAGGCTCTGGAACAAATGGAAGTGATTCTTTGCAGGGTGAGCTACTCCCTGATGCGACATGCTATAGATGTTAGAAGTTTACAAGTTTACCTATGTAGAAAAAGAAACAGTGGATATATTCATAGAAGAGGAATTGAACTATTAAATATATGAAGTACTGTGTACTCTTATACTGAATTCTAGGCATTTACATTTCTCACTTAGTAGTTTTCCTGAGTTAAACAGTCTTGATAGAACTGGTCATAAGGTGAACTATTCCTGACAAAAGGGAACGGATTCTCCATTTGATTTGATTTTCACAGATTAAATTCCTTCTTGTCTTGATACAATTTTGACTGATCAGACAGCCATTCTAATAGTTTGTTTAAGCCTTGGTTTATGAAACAAAAGTTTTATCTACTGGAAAGATGAATTCTGGCTTTATTTCTTAACCTAGCCTATATTTCTATCTTGCAGAAAGCACCTCTACTGCTACATTACAGACCCAAAATGGACTTGCTGTAAGAGAACTTTATTGTCCTTCTGGACAGAGCTTTTTGCAGAGACTATCATCTGGCACCTTCTTAGTGCATCACTAATCACATGATATGAATCAGACGAATAATTTTGGAAGACTGTAGTGCTTTCATAGCTGACTGTCCTTCTGAATATTTCTCCTGGGGATGTGTTATCTGGATTTCTGGACAGAAAATATTTATACTTATTTTATATGAAAGAAATCAAAACTCAACAAGACACTACCAGCACTAGGTTTACAGATATTGAAAACACTTCACAGTTCCATGTAGCTCAGCCTGACTCTTACAGTTACACAGAAATAAGTTAGAATGTTGTGGGGTGATTTTAAAAATGTTGCTTTTGACACCAAGTTGCATTTAGTTACTTTTCACATTCTGAATATTTAAAAATATATTTTTGCAAAGTGTTCTTGTCTTATATAGTATGCCTGATTGCATTGGCTTTAATCAAGTTCTGTAGGTCATTGAACATAACTAATGATATAGTGACTGGTGATATTTATTATGCTGCATTGAAAACTTTTGAAAATCTGGGAAAACAATGGGTTTATTTGTTGGTTTTATCCAGTTGTTGCTCTCTCTCAGTTTCTGTTTTAGTAAAGTTTTAATGCCCTTTTTGCATGGTGATTTGGTAAGATTAATTGTAATCTCTGCAGCTGATTTTAATGTGCCCTGATATTTTGCTGTGGCATATATTGCACCACATAATGATAAATACTCAAAAGTGCTAGATTTATGAACTTTAAATATATATATATATATATATATTATATATATAATATATATATATATATATAAACATTTCTTATGTAGCTATGGCTTGCAGAAATCAGTTTTTACTGTAAAGAGAATTTATTCTCTCTGGCTAATGAAACACTGGCTCTTGGACAACATTGGGTGATACTGCACAATTTAGAGAAGTAGAAGCAGCTTTATATTTTAGTAACAGCTTCGTATTTTCTTTACCTATTTTTTCTGAAACTGTTCTGTTTTCTTTAGTACAATTACTTACTGTTTTAGGGGGTCAGACAAAATTATTTTCACACCTCTGGCCTTAATTGATAACAGTACTTGCATCAGCCCTAGCAAATGCAAGGTAACATAAATGCCATGTATGTGTGTACATATATATATACACACATATGACTGTTTGTGTTATGGAATGCACCCTCAATAGCACTTAGCAGTGTTCACTGCATTGTAAGGCTTTTTGAAATTGTCACCTTTTTAAAAACAGAGTTGAAAGTGATTTCTGCAAGCTGTATATTGTATAGCACATATAGGACAAGAGCATTTGGCTGCCAGCGTGTTGAGTTATCTAGAACTCCAAGCATACTATTAACATCTGGAAACAGTTAACCTTCTAACTTTTGGAAGGGTTTTCCAATCAGCTGAAAATGCTAGCTGCTATACATATTATTTTTTATAAACTGCCTTTGGATAAGAAAGTAAGCTTGCTTGTAACTGCCCTGCTTTGTCTGTCTGTGCTTATTCCTCTCTTCAGCAAGAAAGTATAATTTATTACTGATAACAGGAAGCTGATTGTGAAAGAGATTTATCTCAGCATTTGAAGTCATCTTCTCAAGCTTTCAAAGCACCACATTCCTTAGCATACCTCCTGCACTTTTATTCTTTGGAGTTTTCAGCCCTCCTTTCTTAGCTGTGCTGCTGCAGAAGGGATGTTTCATTTTCTGTTTATCTTTCCAAAGATAAAATATTTTCTCGTTTTTATTTATAGTCACAGATGTGAATGGGAAGTAAATCAGAAGATACACAGGCAGAGAAAGAAAGGGAGCCTACTGAAATATGGGGATGTAATAGAGGTGCAAATGCTAAAAAAGGCTGCAAATGTGAGGGCAAGATGATAGGTAGACTGAATGCTTGCATTAGGCAGAACTCCATATCCAGGCCTTTGGTGTGAGCATGCATGCTCCTACAAGCAATGAACTTGGCTCCAATTTTGTTCTGCCGTTTCCAGCTCAAATCTATTTCAGCTTTTACCTTTGGTTAACATGAATTAGCAGATGAGATCATGAACCTATCTTTTTACAGTCTTTAATGTAAAAAACTGAAAGCAGGTGTTACAAATGCATACGCAGATTGACATACTGGGCCCTTCTGGAGCTGTTCATGCTGTTGACGTTCCCTTGTAAATAAGGGACTGGCTGTAGCTAGCGAGAAACTGAGAGTACAAACAGGGCTATAGATGGGCCACTCTCTGCGCCTGATGCAGACACAGAATTAAAGCTCACAGAGAGTATGTTGATTAAGGTGGCTTTTGTGTGTGTTCGTGTGTGGATATATAAACACTAACCCACACTCTGTATGTATACACATGCTTCCTGAGAGAAATCTGCCTACCTTGGAAGAGTGTACTGCAGAAAGCTTTTGTACATCTAGACTCTGAAGCAGTGCTTATAAAGCGTGCTAGGATTTTAGCACTTTCCACTGCAGTTGGAACAGTACTAATTTGTACTCAGTTGTACAGCTGAGAACTCAGCTGCAAAAAAGCAAATTCAGAAGCCTTTCAAGTCTTTCTCTTGGTATAATAATCTGCAGTACAAAATGTATATTTGGAAGTTTGTAGCTCTATTTAGAATTACTTGAATATATAATGGTGCTACCAGTACTTTGAAAATTCTGTTGATAACTATATAGATAGGTAAATTCAAGGCAGTATTAATACCTATAAATGCTTTGTTTGTTTGTTTTGTTTTGGTTTGTTTGTTTGTTTTCTCATTTGTGTGCAACTGCTTTTGCAATGTCTTTAATTTGATAAAGCCTCTTCAGTAAAAAGAAAAGGAAAAATATAAGAGAAATCCCAGTTATTTTTCTAAATCATATGCCATAGCATCATTGCTATGGATATTCTTTCCCTCAGGAGGGGTTGGGATTGTGTCTGGACCACATATTTATTTACTCTAGCCTTACTAGAAGATGACAATGCAATTGAATTGAACTGAGAGGGAGGCCTCCTTTGGGTCAGAGCTCTGTTTCACTTCTGCGAAGCTTAAGAGACAGTTAATTTATATCAAGATTATATAGGAACCGGGGTTCTGTTCAAACCTGAACGGAAAGTTGGACGCAGCATAGATATCTCTGTGTCCTAGTGAGATCATACTCAGTTTATTTTGGATTTTGTCAAGATGGCACTACTGTGAAGTAGTTTTCACAATTGCTTGCGCTGGTAAATAATTGCAGTAAAGAAGTATCTTGTTACGTTACCCTCAGCAGCAATGAGACTGATGAATCACCCATGCTCAGAGTCTCATTAAATATAGTTTCATTAAAAACAGAGAATTCAGATAGAATATATGATATTAAATTTAAATAAGATTTGGGATGTTAAAAGTTAACTCTATAAAATTATTTATTCTATTTTAAGCCTTCTGTCTTATTTTGCCGTCCAAGTATTTTTGGTTTCAATGGTCCAACCTTATGTACGGGCATATAAAATGAAATTGTAAGATGTTTTTACAAGCTTCTTCCTTTTACATTGAGTATAATTAGCTTTTGTTTGTATGTTTTTGTTTTGTGTGGATAAAGAACATTACTTATGTTTTTGTGCAATAGGTTTGAAACATGCATTTATTAGGCATATGCTTAAATTGTAAATGTATCATCTACTTACCGTTAAAAAGGAGTGTAGATGGAATTTTTGAGTTGTTCAGACGGGGTTTTATTTGGGACTGTTGTCTGGGAAGGTTGTTTTTTGATTTGTTCTTTATTTTATTTTAAGAGTGAAGTGCGGGATTTAAATTTGTCTGAGTACAAGAACTGTCTGTCAGCAATATTCTAAAATAAATGATCTTGCAAGAAATCTTAATGTGAACTGTGGAAGCAATCGGCAAGACTTGCAGCCTATCTGAAAATGTTTTGTGCCATTGTTATGTCTGGTATGTTTGTGTACCATCAAATCTGAAAATATTTATTTATTTTTTTTGGTCGTGCAATAGTGTACACAACACTATAATCTCTGGGGATATGGGACCATACAAAATATCAGACTACAACTATGATGGTGCTGTTTTTTTCCAATAGGCTATGAGCCTTTGAAAGCTTATCTGGCTCTTTTGTCTTCATAACAACATAATTAGTTGTAGGAGATGGATTTATTTTTATTTTTTTCCGACTGGATGGTAAATGTAACCATACAACTAGCCTGCTTTACAGCACGAAGCATCTTACCATTGAGCTAAATACAGTAGGAAAAAGCCAACCAGTCTGTACATCAGCAGGTAAATATTAGTAAGCTTGTAGTCTCAACTATACTTAACATGCATTTTGTTCAGAAGGCTGGACTGTACAGAAAAATCTAGTTTCTCTACTTCCTCAGGTGATAACTTCAGTTTGGATATTTCACTGGAGATGCTAATGTTTCAGTTCCTTTGCATAAAGTTTTAATAAGAGGAGAAAAAAAATGTCCTGAACACCAGAATCTGTGCGTAAGATGTAATTAACTGTAACTGTCTTGGCATCTGTTGCTGAAGTAAAAACCTGTAGAGAGAACATTAAGGAAGATGGGAACAATACTTCAATCTCTGCTTTCATGAAAATTTACAGTCAGTACAAACACTTTCTAGAAACTTGCTTTCTGTGGCAAGCTAACAGTAATACTTTACCATGAATTTATGATTTATTTGTATACAAAATAAAGCTCCAGTCTTGCTATTTGATCTGTGTTTCATCTGTGGAGCTTCCTGAAAATCTTTCAAAGCCACAGTGGCCTACCCAGTTGAGTGGTAAGAAGGTGGGAAGTAAATGTCCAATTCCATGAGTGCTTGTATTGCTAACTTTGCAAATAGCCTGAATGATTCTGCAGAAACCAGAGGGTTCGTTCAGGTGATGGTAGCTGTGGCTGGAGGATGGAGTCTTGATTTTTAAAGGCTGGAATGATGTTCCAGTATTATTAATTTTTATTTGAAACTGAAAACACAGGTTTACTAGAACCTTAAATTCAAGTTACTTATTCAAAGAAAGGAGAGTTTGTTCTTTCCTTCTGCAAAAAGATTATTTTACAGTTGAGGGACAATAAGCCAGTGCAACCACTAAGCCTTTATTCTCTCATGTGGCATAATAAAGATATTGAAACTGTCACAGTGTAAAACCATATTTTTGGCTTAGCTTCATTTGAAAGTTTACAATTTTTTATGCTTTGTGTTGCTGTGTAATTTTTGTACTATTGGTGGCTAGTTTTGTCTGAATAAGCCTTTTTGGATTATTGCTTAATGTTTTGATTTTATGATAGTGAAGCTTGTATTCAGTGTTTTGCCAATTAATATTATATGCTTGTTAATAAAAGCAGAGAAACTAACTGAAATCCTGTCAAGCTGGAAGTTATTGTCCCATTTTTTCCTTCGGGAATATGAGGAGCTAGTCAGCCTAATATCATGGCACTGACCAACCCAGCATGACTGAAACAATAAAATAATTTTGTGGCATGACATGGTCACAGTCAATATGTCTATAACCCATTTTACTCAAAACAAACAAAAGCATGGCCTGAAGTATTACCCCACTGCTCAGAGCAGTGATGTGCCTGTGACAAACATATGGCATATGACTGCCAGCTAGGAAATGAAATTGCTTCAGCTGCATGCAGGAAAAACATAGTTACCCTGATGTCTATATGTATTTGTAGATAGAAATGTACTTATGAGAACTGTGTGTTGCTTTCAGTCTGACTTTGCCTGGTGATGCTGATGCACAAGGGCAGACTGCAGCATTCTAGATGAAAGATTTGACGTGACTTAGCGTCACATGTCAAATTACAAAGAATATCCATGCATATTTGATTTTAATTTGGGGACTGTCACACTTGTGTCACCTCTTTGTGAGCTGCTAGGAAGAAAGTTCTCTTGCTTATAGGAAATTTACTATGACCCAAATATGCTTTGCCTTTGGAAAA